AGAAATCTATTCTGCCATGGTTGTTTGTAGATCTGTGCTACAATTTGCAAAATTTTCGAACCAAAAATCTGTTCTGCAGAATTTTTTTTATATTTGTAGATCTGTGCTATATTTTGTTCTTCACTTTAAATTTGGAGTACATGATAAGGAAATCTATTAGGCCTCTTATAACTGTTCTTCATTGTAATGATATTATAACTGTTCTTCACTTTAAATTGTAATGATATTATAACTGTTCTTCACTTTATATTATAACTGTACATGATAAGTGTTAGGCCTCTTGTAAGGAAATCTGTTCTTCACTTTAAATTGTAATGATATTATAACTGTTAGGCCTATTGTTCTTCAATGCCTCTTGTTTAATGATATTATAAATATACATATTTAGGCCTCTTCTATAACCACTCATTCGTCCAATTACAAAATTCCATCCAATACTGATATCAAAACTGACCAACATCAGTTTCCCAATAAGTGTCTATCTTTCTATAATCTTCAAATTTAGTTAAACAACTAATTGGACCAAGAACTAAACAAGTTTATTTTCAATATTGATAAAAACAATAATGCAAAGGCCAAAGATCTATTTCTCCGTTTAAAAATATTTCACGTCACAACAATTTCATCGTCAAACACTGATCTCCACTAGGGGTAAGCATGGTCCGGATTGGACCGGATTGGGATAAAACCAGGACCAATCCGCTATCTACGGTTCCTAAAAAATCGGAACCAATCCAATCCGTTTAAATCTTGGAACCAATCTGAACCAATCCATTTAAACACGAATTGGATCGGTTTAGGACCACGGATTCACATAATTAAATAACAAATATATATATATGTATATATATATAACACTTTAATTTTATAAAAATATAAACATAGCGCTATATTAGTTCTACAATAGCAATATGTTTTTTTATAATAGCGACATAATGTTCTAGAATTTAAACAATCATAAAAAAACTAGTTTTACCATAAGTATTTAGACCATTACAAATTAAAACTAAAAACTAACAAACAAAAGTAATAAAAGAAGATATTATACGGGGTTTAGGTTTGAGTTTAGATTTTATATAGAATAAGAGAAGATACTATGGGGGAGGATGTATAATAAAAATATAGACTATTTGTATACGGTCCAGATTAGTTCCAATCCGGAACCGTGGGGTTCAATCGGGAACCAATCCGTGGACTACGGATTTTTAATTCTTCAATCCGGAACCGAACCACGGATTCAAAGAACTAATCCAAACCTATCGGATTGGACTGGACTAGATCGGATTACGGATTTTACGGATTTCTTGCTCAACCCTAATCTCCACAAAGTTACTACTCAAGTAATTCAACCTTGTTTGAACTCCTGAATCTCGGTGTTGTACACAGACACACACATAGAAACATCCAATACACGACTATATTTTCCCTGTGCTTCACCTAAAACTTCAACTAGGTTGTAAAAACTGTTCTTTGCAATGTATCTGATGAATCAAATTATTGTCAAAGTTTAAACTCTAGTTACCTCAATGGTACGTGCACAGAGACGTGAAAATGAATGCTCATGCACCACTCAGTTGTCCTTAGGCTTCAACTAAACTTCCTAGTACTCACTCTAATTCATATATATAGCTATCTCTCCTTAATTTTTTATAGTCCTGGGAGTTCTCTCAACCTCTTGGCCTGCAGAATTTTTGATTGTACTATATCATTAGCATGATATTTTCCTTGTCTAAATAAACTAACAGGATATTTAATTGGTGTTTGTTCTTCAATGCCTCTTCATTTTTTTGACTTAAATTTTTTTGAAAATTGTTTATCTATGAATAAATATACATATTTAGGCAATGGCAACAACAGTACACAATGATCTCCCCATTGATGATGATGATGTTGTTGAAGTTGGTAGAAGAAACAGTGATCCATGGCCTCAGGCAAATGAGGCTCTTTTCATTACCCTCATGGATGAGAAGGTGAAAACCAAGAGTAGTAAAATAACTGGGACATTCACTAAACAAGCTTGGAACAGGTTGAGAGATCAAATGAACGCAAAAACCCAATACCAGTAACGCACACCAGCTTTGGAACAAATACAATCAGATGCGTATTATGTTCAACAAATTTACAGCATTACTGAAGCATACTAGTGTTGGTTGGGATAGCCAGCGACTTACAATCATTACACCGGATGACGTTTGGGAAGCCCTTTACAAGGTTTAATTAACTTTTTGCGTTTTCTTTGCTACATTTAATTGGGGAATTCTTCATGTTAACCTGAAATTCATTGGTTTGTAGGTTAATAGCCATGCAGAGAGGTTCAGGAAGAAATGGATGGTTTACTACCATGAGTTGTCTTGTATCTTAGGAGACACATCCGCAATTGGTAAACTAGCTCACCCTTCCTCCAAATCACCTTCTGAAAGTAGTGTTAGTTCTGATCCTGAATTTAAGATAAAGAATGAAGACTTAGATGCATTGCAAATTGATAGTGATAATGACAATGGAGATGGCCAAGGCAAGTGCAAGGGCAAGAGCAAAATGGCAGGTAAAAAGAGTAAGAAGAGGAGCTCTTTTCAAGCTAATATTTTTGAAGCACTCAAAGAAATGAGTGAAAATAGCAAGAGAAAGGTGGAGCTAATGGAAAAGCACTTGACAAGTGCTTCAGTTACTAATGTTGGCGATGATAGTGGTTCAATTGAAGGTGGCTCTACTGCCTCACGTTCACTACTGAAAGAGTGCATGGCACTATTGCATGCTATGGAGGAAATTCCTGTGCCTGCTTACACTAAAGCTGTGAACAAACTTGCATCGGATCCCATAATAAGGGAGGTATTTGTTAATATGTCTGCTAGTAGGATGAGGGATTGGGTCCTTAATCTTTGAAAGTTATTCTCAGAGAGTGCTGCAGATTTGGTGTGGTATGTGTTTGTGTTGTTTAATTTATTAGTAATGTTGGATAATATTTGGTAGTTAAAAAATGTTAGTTCGTATGGATGTTTTCATGTTTTCAAAAATGTTGGATAATATTTGGTAGTGTATTGTGGAAACAGAGTTATTATGGAAACAGAGTTGGGTGCATGCGGCATGTATTTTATATTTGGTACGGTATTGTACTTTTTATTTTATTTTATTTGTTTCAGAATTATTTATTATGGAAACAGAGTTGGGTATATGCAACATGTTTTTAATATTGTACTGGAATGCTATTATAGAAACAGAGATGGGTAGATATAAAATTGAAACATATTCTGGAATGCTTTTGTACTGGAATGCTTCCCATTGCTATTATGGAATGCTATTGTACTGGCATGCAGCATGTTTTTATTATGGGAACAAAGATGCATAGATATAAAATTGAATGCTACTGCTATATTTAATGAATGCCATAGCTATATTCAATTATCTTGAATGCTATTACAATGGGAGTTTATGGTTAGTTGAAGTATTGAATGATCTTCTCCTATATAATGCTTGTTGGTAGTCATTCCAAGTATTTTTTATATCACTGCATTGTCAACATTGCATGGGAAGCATTGTCAACATTGTTTTATATCACTGCATTGTCAACACTACATTCCAAGGTATGTATGATCTTCTCCTATAAAAAATATTTATATCACTGCATTGTCAACATTGTTTTCTTAAGAGTCCAAAGGTATATTTATAAAAAAATAAAAAATATTTGTCTTTAGTAGTAATAAAATAAAAATAAAAATAAAAAATAAAAAATAAAAATAAAAATAATGGCATGGGAAGCATCAATTTCTTTTTATCACTAAATTCAATTTATTTGTTGAATCCCACAAGAGTATTGTTGAATAATTTCTCAACCAATAATTTCTATCACTACTTTCTTTCTTCACTTCTCTGTTGGGCTATATACTTGTGTGAAAAGCCCCTTCATTGCTACTAAAAAAAATTGAAAAATAAAAATAAAAATAAAGATTGCAAGTATTGGTACTGAAAAAAAATTTAAAATAAAAATAAAAAATTCTTGTGTGACCATTTTTTCATGTATTTTCATTATCACTAATACTTTTGTTTTTAAGGGGTCAACACAATATCACAGTGATATATATGGAGCCGATGCATGCTCTTAATTTGAGTTTTGACTCAAACAGTGACGATGAAAATATTCAATTTCTGGTGTGTGTAGCACTACATGAGTATTATAATACTTACCTTCAACCTAGACCATGCCGAACGTCTATATTACAAGGACATGACTAAGTATTAGAAATATTGAATGGCCATGAAACAAGGTCCAAGGAAAATTTTAGAATGGAACCAGATGTATTTATTAGTTTGTGCGAGGCACTTAAGGTATATAGTAAACTGGAACACTCACGTTATCTAACTGTCCAAGAGCAAGTTTGTATATTTTTGCTAACAATTGGTCACAATGAACAAAATCGTGTTGTCCAAGAGTGATTCCAACTTTCTGGCCACACCATCTCCAAATACTTCCAAGTCTTGAAGGCAGTGTGTAGGCTTGGTAAATAAGTTATAAGGCCTCTAGATTTTGACGAGGTGCCTACAGAAATTCGACATAATCCACGCTTCTACCCTTTTTTTAAGGTAATCACTAACAGAATATTTGAAGTATAAATTTTAGTAAAATATCTTGCATTATTAAAGTCATTTGTCAAATAGGATTGTGCTGAAGCAATTGACGGTACTCACATATCTGCAAGGGTGCCAGCATCAGAGCAAATACCATATCAGGGTAAACATATAGTTACAACGCAAAATGTAATGTGTGTTTGCTCATTTGACATGCGATTTACGTATGTATTGGCCGGTTAGGAGGGCACTGCAAATGATTCAAGAGTGTTCATTGAAACCGTACATGATCCAGCAAATTTATTTCCAATGCCACCAACAGGTACATATTATATGGCATTTTGTTAATTTATAATGAATATTCTTTTGCCAACCCATAATAGTAGATACATACATGTTGAACAGATAAATACTATGTTGTCGACTTGGGTTATACAAATATGCCTAGCTTTTTATCGCCATACCGTGGTGAGAGGCACCATCTAAATAAGTTTCGTACTCAACGTCAACAACCAAGAAATAAGAAGCAAATGTTCAATTACCGACACTCCTCACTGCGCAATGTGATTGAGAGATACTTTGGTGTCTTGAAGGCTCATTTCCCAATTTTGAGAGACATGCCTCCGTATTCAACTAAGACACAGAGATACATCCCCATTGCCTGTTGTACAATGCACAACTGGATAAGGATACATTCTCAAAGTGACACATTGTTCGCTGAATGGGCCAATCCAGATCGTATTGTTGAAGATGTTGGGCCAAGTGGAGGTGGTAGTAGCAGCTTGACACATGCAGGAAGTAGTTCTCAGCAACCAATTGATGTAGACATTAGTCAACCTCAACTACGTCATATGTCTGATGTAAGGAATCAAATTGCTGGTCAAATTTGGGAATCTGTCAAAAACAATTGAAATATTATTTATGTGTATAATAGATTGTGGAAGATGTTTTTTTATGGTTTGCGGCAGAATTGAGATGTTATTATTATGGTTTGTAAGTTGTTATGAACATTACACTAATATGGTTATTAAATTTATCTATGGTTGGTATTGTATCAATATGGTTATTATGTTTGCTTATTACAATGTGTATGATCCCATTGTCAAAAATTTTAAAAAAAAAATTAAAAAAAAAGTAGGCCTTAACAAACATGTTTTTTAGTTTATGTTTTCAAAAAATTTCAAATATTTTGTCCAAACCAAACGCATTTATTATTTATGCTTTTCTAAAAATAAACAAAAATCAGTTTATAAAATTTTTGTAAACATAAACCAAAAACGTAAACATTACCAAACGCTACCTTAGTAACACAATAATAGAAAAATTATTTATTAGGGAAAAAAAATTTGAATGGAAAGAAAAATTATTTTACAAAAAAAAAATGTAATTGGAAAATCATTATTTGAAAATCAAAATTAATTGAAAAACAATTACTTGCAAGAAAAATTATTTGAAACAAAAAATTTACTTGAAAAAAAAAATTTGTTGCTAAAAATTTTAAATGTCAATTTAAAAACAACATAAACTCATTTTTTGACACTATGTTTTTCCTCAAATTATTGTAGGTGACAACCATTTATAAACTAAAAAAACTATTTTCGAACAATGTTTTATTGGCAATAATTTTGAGTTTTGTAATTATAAACTGCAAACTGACAACAAAATGGTTACCAAACAGGCCACAATGAATAAAATTTTTGCGTTCGTTGCAGGAAAATACTATTTGGTGGATAGCGGCTATAGCAACAAGACATGCTACCTAGCCCCGTACAAGGGGTATAGGTATCACCAAAATGCCAATCAGAATCAAACACCACAGAATGAGTTTGAACTGTTTAATAAGGCACATTCATTATTGCGTAGTTGTATCGAGCGGACATTCGATGCTTGGAAGTCGAGGTGGGGGGCATTGCGAAATATTCAGAAGTTCAGTTTCTCTAATCAAGTGACCTTTGTATGTACGTCGATGGCGTTATATAACTTCATACACCGACACAGTCAAATTGATGAGGTCACGCTGGCTATCCTAGACAGCGACGAATACGTGGCCCCGGAAATGCCCGACAACGATGAATACACACAGGTTGCCGATGTGATTGAGGAAGGGGACTCCGACCCTGCAATGGCTGTCGTAAGAGCGAACATTACGTACCAACTCGGAGGGCAAGCGCAGCGGTAGGGGCGAATGTTTGAAACAATAATGTTGGTTAAATTTTTAATATGTGTAACTGAGATTCAAATTTATATTATCATATATTTATAAAGACGTTTGGTTTTAATATTTTGATATTTTCGGTAAAATAGATTGTGAATGAATTTTATTTATAGAGGAAGTATGTCCAATCATTAACATATAAAATACATGATGGACGTATGTCCAATAATTTTGTGATACAAGCAACATTTTTTTTTTAGATGCACCTTCTATAAACAATAATCTGTGTCGAAGAAATTTGAAAAAACACATAACACAAAAATAACGCAATAAATTTGTTTTGCTTGTGTGAATTTTTAATACTTTTCAGCTACTTTTCACCAGGAACTTTATATACTTTTCTATCCCTTTTTGTGTTACATATGTCCACAAAAAATATTGTTCAAAAAAATAAAAAAAATTACAAAAATTTTTTTGTTTATGGTACAAGGTTTTGGTTTGTTGTTATTGGTCCCACGTATCAAGCAAGACTAGCTAATAAAAAATGCAAAGAATAATAAAAAATAATAATGTTCAACACCAGCATTGTGCATAACCGTTGCACAATGTTTCCCATTGTCCAGTTAATAAAAAAGGAAATGAATAAAAAATAAAAAATAATGTTCAACAACAACACTAAAATATGACCATTGCACAATGTTTCCCATTGTCTAATTATGTGGACCAATGGGAGCCACTTATTCACAGGCATGCTACCCAACAAGCACGCAACATCTCTTCCTGCTACTGTGTCAGTTTGGAAGGGTAAAAGAGTCATTTTAGCATTTGTAATAATATTATATTACACATTTTTTCATAAAAAGTTAAAAAATTATCCCAAACAACCTTTTTTTTTTCCTTCACTTTTTAGTCCAAAAAGTCAAAAAAGTGCACTTATTTAGGACACCCCAAGTTTGGAAAACTCTTTTTAAAACTCATAACAAAACAAATTTTCTTATTTCACATGTCACATCAAATATTCAAAACTTTTTTCAAAACTCATAACTAAACAAATTTTCTACACTTAAATCATAATTCTAAAACTCACAAATTCAAAATACAATTGTATTCTCAAATCATATTTTTAAAATTCTACCAAACGCTACCTAAAATTTCCCTTTTTCAAATCTTAGGAACTAGCAAACAAATTGTTATTGTCCTTAAACTTTTACATAAATATATAAAGAGATTTCTACCTAATTTTAAAGAAATAATTGTTGAAAAGTCTAAGGTAAGGAGGGTATAAGGTTCTGTGAATATTTTTTTATTGGTAAGAGATCCACCATTTATAAAATAATTTGGTAAAAAGTCCTTTCATTACTTTTGGAGGATAGTTTACTTTTGGGCGGATTACACTAACTGTCCCTATAGTTTGGATCTTGTGTCACTTTGGTCCCTGAGTTTTCAATTGTGACACATTTGGTTCTGAATTTTAAATCTTATTCTAAATAAGGACAATTGAATATATTATTACTCAATTTTAAGGGGCAAAGTCGTCAATTTGATAAAATATAAACTAATTTGACAAAAATAAATGTCAAAAAAATATTTTTTAAATTTTAAAAATTATTTCTACACGCTAAAGATAAAATTATGTAAAATTAATAAATTTGTTAAGAATTTATTTATTTATTTATTTTACCAAATTAATTTTTATTATGTGTTTGGATGATGTTCATGTAATGGGCGGTTGTTTTTATTTTCATTAAATTAATTTCTATTTTTTTAAAAGTCAAATATGACGATAATTTTGGTATCATTATTAAACCAATCCATTAAATCAAAAAATTCAAAACTAAGAACATTTTATATATTAAATATATCAATTGCATATTAAAAGTCTAACAATCACTCATTATATGATTATTATCTAAACACATAATAAATATTAATTTGGTAAAATAAATAAATAAATGTCTAAAAGATTTATTAATTTTACATAATTTTATCTTTGGTGGGTAGATATTATTTTCAAAATTTAAAAATATTTTTTTAACATTTATTTTTGTTAAATTAGTTTATATTTTATTAAATTGACGATTTTACCCTTAAAATTGAGTAATAGTATCTTCAATTGTCCTTATTTGTAATAAGATTCAAAATTTAGGATCAAATGCGTCACAATTGAAAAGTCAGCGACCAAAGTGACACGAATTTTAAACTATAGGGACTGTTAATCTAATTTGCCCTTTACTTTTAATTTTATTCCTTAATTTATCTGTTGACTTTTCGTTGACTATTTGTTCAAATTTATATTTATTTGTTCAAATTTTCATTGACTTAGTTCAAATTTATATCTATTTGTTCAATTTTTTTATCCGTTCAATTTTTTTATTTATCTGTTCAAACTCTGGTCCTATTTTTACCTATATGCTGAAATTTTTATGTGTAAAATTCTATCTGTTGAAATCTATTATCCAATATTTTCCTATCTGTTAAAATATTTGTTCTAATTTTTTTGTCTATTAAAATTCAAACTTATTTTCCCCTATTTGCTGAATATCGCAAGCCTATTTTTTCTTATATATTTACTTTTTATCTCTAAAAAGTCATTTTATACTTTTTTTTATCTGTTCAAATCTTGAACAAATTTGTCGTATCTGCAATCTGTTTCATCATCATCATCATCAACAACACCAAATATATATATATATATATATCTAAGGTCTCGTTTGACAACTTTAATTTTAGTTAAAAAGTTAAAAAGTCACTACAAATTGTTACATCACTTTTTCTATTTTTTTGCACATCTTTTGTAAAACTTAAAAAAATTATTAAAATAGCCTGTTCCTAAACGAGACCTAAGTCTCTCCCACTCACTTCTCATCTATTCAACACAAGAAAAGAAAAAAAAATTCACTTCACTTGGTTAGAATTTTCTAAAAGTACTTTTCAAAAAAATTTATTTTCTTATTTTTTGTATTTTTTTATTTTTCCTGAATTTTTTAATATTTTTAAAAAAAATTAAATTTCAATATTTTTTTAAAGAATTAATTTTTAGATACACGTAATATAAATATACTTAAAAAGTATAATTTTTATAAATTTTTTGAAAACAATCACTAAATATCAAAAATACAAAAAAAAAAATCAATATATTTTTCATATTTTTATATATTTATTAATTTTTTTAAATATTTTTTCACAAATGTTTTGGACTTTTTTGGTTTGCTTTTGGAAGAATTGTTTTTGAATTTTTTTTTCAAAATTTTGTTTGGTGTGTGATTTTTCTTAAAATAAATATCAGAACATTCTCTCTTACACATCAATCAATTATTTTTTCTCTCTTTTTATAGCGATCCCGGGTTTACCCTTGTTGTACAGTGATCCGGGCATGTGTCCGTGGATGTTGGTTGTTGTTTATTATCGTGTTTGCATCCTTTGTACTTTGTATTTGAGTTATAGGATGTGTTGGGCAGGTTTGTTGCAGGTTGGTTGTGTTTGGGAGCCTAGTGTTGCTGCCCAGATTTTTGGTCCTTCGCTCGAGCGAGGAGTTTGTCGCTCGAGCGAGAGTAGTGTTGCCCCGGTTCTGGACCTGAGAGTTGTAGTTTCTGGCTCGAGCGAGCTTTTCGTGGCTCGAGCGGTCTGGGTTTTTCTTCGCTCGATCGAGAACTTCTTGGCTCGAGCGAGAGTTTTCTGTGTCTGGTCGCTCGAGCGACCAAGGCTTCGCTCGAGCGAGAGTGTTTTATATCAGCGGACAGCAGCGTCTAAAACATCACTTTTTCACTCCTTTTCTTTGAGCAAACCCTTAATCCGACACTCTCTCTCTCTAAAAAGGAGGAATCTCTAAGATTTGATCTCCCTAGAGTGTGAATCTAGCCTAGGGCCGGGAGGTACTAAGATGTATCAGGATTTGGGTCGCCAGTTTTGGTGGCGGGGTATGAAGAGAGATGTGGCTGTTTTCGTATCGAAATGCCTTACTTGCCAGCAAGTGAAGGCCGAGCATCAGAGGCCAGCGGGTTTGTGGTGAGACCCAGCTTGTGTTGCCGAGGGTGGTTTGTAAGTATTCGGATGTCTTTCCCGAAGATCTTGTTAGTTTGCCACCTCACCGAGAGATAGAGTTCTCTATTGATTTAGTGCCTGGTACGGCGCCGATTTCTATGGCACCTTACCGTTTTGCTCCAGCAGAGTTGGTTGATGAAATTCGTAAGTGCTTATGTGTTTATGTGCTTATGTGGAGTGAAATACACTTGTCCATGCATTAGGACGTGAGATGTGGATATAGCTTATATGCTTATCTTGTATCTGTGGATATTGTTGTTATACATATCTGTTGAGAATGTGGATGTAGCTTTTATGCTTATCTGAATGTGAGTTATAGTTTTTATACATATCTGTGGAAATGTTGATAGAGCTAGCATGCTTATCTGTTGAAAAGGGGAAAATGAAAAGTAATTGGGACTTGTAAGTCGTTGACATAAATATGTTATTTATGTGATTGTATCTGTGTTGACCAACTATCAATTGCTAATGTTTTAGTCATTGTCCATGGTTGGTTTAGTGTATTTCTACTGGGCTGTGGCTCACCCTATATGGGAATATCATTTTCAGGTGCAGGAAGCATGCCACCTCCAAGGACATAGCTTGGGAGGCTAGAGGCGGACATAGTGTAGTCGTTTTACTTTTGATGTATTACATGTAACTTCAAGCCTAGGGCTTAATGTGTAAACGAGTTAGTACTCTTTTGTTGTAACCAAGTGTTAACTTGGAAAGATGTAAGCCCGTAGGGCATTTTGTTTATGATGTTATCATGTAATACTTATGTAATGAAACTCTAAGGAATATAGGAATGTGGTTAGTTTATATGCAAATGCATGCCTTATTTGATGGGTTTAATGTTATTATTTTGAGGGCGTTACACTTTTTTTTAATCACTTTTTCTTTCACACACATTTATTCAATTATAACAAAATATCAAATTATCTCAAATTTCAAACTCTAAAATTATTTTCAAAATATATAATTAAACAAATCAAAAAAAAAATTTAAAACTCTCTCCCTAATATTTTTTTTTAAAAAATCACTCTCAAAAGCAGATCAAACACACTTTTTACTTTTTAGATTCATCTAAATAAGAACCATTTAAAAAATAAAAAAATACTTAAAATTTTAAAAATATTTATTAAAAAAATGAAAAACAAAAATCATTAATTTTCCAAAAAATTGAATTTAAAAAACTAAAATCTATACTTAATTTCATCATTATCATCAACTATAAAATAAAAAAATAAAATAGATGCAGGAGAAGAAGGAAGATGAGTAGATCTGGGTAAAAGCTCTCCAAATCCAACTCTAACCATCACCATCGCATTATTCGCACCATCTCGCACGACTTCCCTCCTCGGCCGCCTCCTTTCTCGTCCGTCTCCGGCGGTGACGCCACCACTTACACCCGCCTCCCCGATGAACCCGATGAACTCCGACAGGAACTATTGCAGCGGCGAATCAGGTATCGAGTTCGTGAATCTCGAAGAAGAAAACGGCGGTAAAGCGAGGAGCAGCGGAAGCGGGAGCGACGGCATCGTCGTTGCTGATGAACGATAAGCGGCGATGCCAACATCTACGATAGCCGCAGAGGAGAACAGAGGGAGAGGGCATCGGAGCCTCTGACATCGACGACGACGTGTTGATCTCTGTGTCTCTCTCCGCCAGTGCTTCGAATTCAACAGATGGAGGAGGGAGAGAGAGAGATGGAGGAGAGAGAACAAAATGTGTTTTCATTTTAACAGATAACTCATGTGTGGATCCAATGAAATAAGGAGTGTTAACTGGAGAAGGGTAGTATGGTTATTTTGGAGAGGTATGCCCTTCTGGCTGAATAGTTTAACGCTTGCATTGTTGGATCAAACAAATTTGAATTTGAATTTTTTTGAGTGAGTATTCATTTTTAAACTCTTACAGAAATATATAAGTCCCGTTTGGTAAAATTTATTTGTAACTTAAGCCACTTATAGTTTAAAATAAGTTATTTTATAGTGTTTGGTAAAAATTATTTCACCAACTTATAGTTTAAATAAAGTTAATTTTCAATTTATTTTCCAAGTGGGTCTGGAGGTGCTTAAGGAGATAGCTTAAGCGCGCAGTTGTTATACATGGTGCTAAAATGACTTAAATGCCCCTCTTAATCTCCATTATTTACGAAAATGCCACTATATATACACCACATCTCAACACTGTTCACAAACCAGAGAGAGACGCATGCGATTTCCGGCGATGAAACAGAGATCTCTCTCTGCTCTCTCTCTCTCTCTCTATGTCTCTCTCTCTCTCTCTCTCTCTCTCTGTCTCTCTGCGCTACATCCATGGCGTCGGTCGATCTCGGGTTCGTCGCCATCGCGATCACGAAGCTCTGTCTGTCTGAACCAACGCCGTCGTTGATCGATCTGAACCAAGCTTCGTCGTCGATCTGAACCAACGCCGTCACGATCTGAACCGTCGCCAGTCGTCTTCCCTGTGCTTTTGAAACCCTAGAAAAAAAATTGAAAAAAATTTGAAAATAAACTTAAAAAAAGAAGAGAAAAATATCAATATTAATATTAATTAAAAAAGAAAAAAATATTTTTCAGAATTAATAAAAACAGAATTAATAGTTACTATGAAAAAAATTAAAAAATTACTTTTCAGAATTAATATTTCACACAATTTATTTCAATTAATAATAATAATTGATGGACAAAATGATACTAATTTTAATATTTACAACAAGTTATTTCAATTAATATTTATTTTTCATAATTAATATTTACTAAAAATGAAATATTACTAAAAATAATTAAAATGAATAATAATACTATGAAAAATAATAATAATAATAATTGATGGACAAAATGATACTAATTTTAATATTTAACACAATTTATTTCAATTAATATTTACTTTTCATATTAATAAAGAAAAAAAATACATAGAAAGAAGATACGAAAAAAATTAATAATTTTGATAATGAATATATGAAAGATAATATGTAATGAAATCACAACATTAATATAAATTAAAACATGAATACTAATTTTAATGAATTAATAAATTAAAAAAATTAACAAAGAAGAAGAGAAGAAAAAAAAGTATTTTAAATGAAATCGCAAATTTTATATCTTATAAGGGCAAAAATGACAATTATACAGAAAAAAGTTATTTTACAGCTTATTTACCAAACACTACTCTGCTGCTTAAATCCATAATCCCACAGCTGCACCAAACAGGTTACCAGCTTATGTTCACAGCTATAAGTTATAATCTGTTAAATTATTATCTATAATCACTTTCCCACAACTCTACCAAACGGGCCATAGAGGATTCTTACCTAATTTTTCCTTATTTTGTTATATTATTACTAGCATAATATTTGTGTTATGCACGAAATTAAACAGTGATTGATAAATTTATTTTTAAATTAATTAAAAATAATTTAAAAACAAATCAAAAATTAAATAAGTTTTCTGGATTAAGTTTTTTGAAAACTAAATTTTTTGATTTTGGTGTTTTTTTGTTTTTAGTGAATATTTTTAAAATTTTAAACATTTTTTTTTACTTTTTTAAATGCATCTTACTTAAGTAAATCTAAAAAGTAAAAAATTTATAAAAAAAAATATTTTAAAAAATTAATAAGTACATAAAAATACAAAAAATGTACTGAATTCTTGTATTTGTTTTGTATTTTTGGTATTTAGTGAATTTTTAAAAGATTTTTTTTATAATTTTTTGAAAAAATTACTCATAAATCCCATTTTGGTAAATGTTGCTCTAGTTAGTCATGAGTGTTTTTTCTTAAACCATTTAGTCCTTTTTATTTTTGATATGATATATGTTTTTGGTATATTATATACGGATTTTACATTTTTACCCCTATTGATTTCATTTTGCAGGTCTCTCAATCTTGCCAACAATGGCAGCCATCACAACCCTAATCTCTCTCTCTCTCCTCCTCTTCCTCAACGCTGAAACACACCCAGAACTATTGGTGGTGACGCCATTAGGCTTCGAAAAGACGGTGAAGAGGCCTTTGTCAGTGACAAGTCGTACTCCGAGCACACTGTGTCTCCGGTAGAATGATCGAACACCACCACTGTCAGGGGCAAAGGTCCTCCACTCAGAGGTCTCATCGATCGAGTGTGATTCTAACATCAGACTGCACTCCGAGCACACTGTGTTGCCGGCAGAATGATCGAACACCACTACCGTCATTGGCAAAGGTCCTCCACTTGGAGGTTTCATCGATCGAGTGTTGATGTTCCTGGACAGATCTAAGATGGGAATTGATGCAGAGGATTGGAGATGTTGATGACGTTGATGATGGATTGGAGATGTTGATGATGTTGATGAATGCACTCCGAGCACACTGTGTCGCCGGCAGAATGATCGAACACCACTACCGTCATTGGCAAAGGTCCTCCACTCGGAGGTCTCATCGATCGAGTGCTGATGTTCCTGGACAAATCAAAGATGGGATTTGATGCAGAGGATTGGAGATGTTGATGATGTTGATGATGCTGATATAGTTGATGTTGTTTATGGTTGATGATGTTGATGATGTTTTGATGATGTTTGTTGATGTTTGATGACGTTGATGATGTTGAAGATGTAGTTGATATTTGATGATGTTGAAGATGTAGTTGGTATTAATGATGTTCACAATGTTGATGATGTTGTGATGTTTGATGATGTTGTTGATGTTTGATGATGTTGAAGATGTAGTTGATGTTGATGATAAATCTAAAAAAGACCTATAATAAGCTTCTTGGGCAATTCGGTAAATTACACATATACACCAACCCAAAATTACCCCATTAGTTACTGACCCAGACGCATAAATAAATGGGTACTAATGTCTTTACACATAAAATAGGACCTATTAGTCCAACAAAAAAACGTCGGGACTAAATGGGTTAACATTTCCAAATTAGGGATTTAATGGTGCTTTCTCCTAATTTTTTTACTTTTTTAGGTGTATTTATGTTAGGTGTGTCTAAAAAGTAAAAAAAAATGCTTAAAATATTAAAAAAAATTAGTGAAAATAAAAAAATACGAAAAATAAGAAAGTAGAATTTTTTAAAAAGTATTTTTGAAAAAATAGAACCAAACAAGCTGATAAGAAAAATGTATTTAGGAATGAGTTTTTTAATTGTATGAGAAAATGCAAATATTTTTGTTTGTTACTTAAATTTTTCGTTTTACCCTTCTAAAGGTGTAAATACCTATGCATTCACTCACAAGAATTGTTTGGTCTTCTCAAACTGGTACAAAGATTTTTTTGTTGCGTTTGGTAGAGTTTTTTAAATATGATTTGAGAATAGAGTTGTATTTTGAGTTTGTGAGTTTTGAAATTATTATTTGAATGTAAAAAATTTGTTTGGTGAATGAGTTTTGAAAAAAGTTTGAAATTGATACAAAAACTTACAACTCATAACCAAACACAGAACTCAAAATTCTATTGAAGTTCATAAATTTTTTTTAAAAATTCAGAAAATATTTTTTATTAAATATATAAAAATTAACATGTGTCAATTGCAAAATATATATATATATATTGCACTGTTCCGGTCAACCGGGCGGACGGTCGATGGGACGACCGGTTAGTCCAAATTTTCCCGCCTTCGGCTGCGTTTTCAAAAGTGACTATGGAATTAATTTTTGAAAATCATAAACAAACGCTATGTTCAAATCAAGCTCTAGAACTAACGTTCCAAAGCTCCACCAAACAGAGCCTTTAACTTCCTTTTTCTTTTTCTTTTTTTAGTGCATGCCAAACACATTTTAGTACTTTTTAGTTTATTGACTTTTTAATAAAAAAATATAGCATTCTAAACATGGCATGAGTTACACAATTTTTATTTTATTTTATTTTTTGTTGTTATTAATATTCTGTCCTGAGTATTGTATAACAAATAGATATATAATAATTCAATTGGTAAAATTAAAATAAATGAATTTTCTAAAATTGTAAAAAAATATACTTTCGGTCAAGTATAATTATATTAGCGATGAAATTCGTAATTATAATTTATCATACCATAGTTTTTTTTTTAGATGTTTCATCATACCATAGTTTGTCAAATGATAAAACAATCTTATCTTTTTTATCTCTCTTTTTCTCTCCTACTCATCTTCTATCTCTCTTTACTTTTAATGCAATGTGGCAAAAAGATTGAAATGAAATATTTAAATCAGAAATGATACATTCCTCTAATTTTGGAGCTCTAATGACTTTGCAATGAAAAAAAAAAAAAAAAACACGGCACAAACATCACATCATTATGGGACCCACACACCATTAGAGCTCCACAATTAGGGCTCCCAATCTTTTTTCTATTTAAATTTTTATATTTATTTTAGTGAGTACATTGGGAAAAATATTCTCATATTAGTAAATTTTGATTTGTCAATTGATAGAGTATAATAAATTTAAGTTGACAGTAAAATGTAAGCGTATTTTTAAATTTTATGAGATGATTGAGGTACTTAAGCCATGTTAGATTCATGTCAATCAACACAAATCACCTGAGCAATTTGTTTATGTAAGTATTTTTTAAATTGGTATTTTTTTCATAATAAAATGTACATATTTATGCATATTGAATAGTTTTGAAAAAATAGATTATATGTAATGTTCCGAGGAGGAGGCCATGGGTTCAACTCTCTTAGGGGAGTTGAACTAAGGGAGCAATCACTTGGTGCTCTGCAAATGGTGGGGAGGCTAACTCCTATAGATACTAATCTAACAACTAACTTTCGTCGATAAAAAAAAAGATAATATTTTTTATAGTGTTGTAATTATGGCTGTAATTTCACTTTAATCTAGACAATTGTAAATATTTTAAATATATTTTCAAACAAAATTAAACAAAAATCAATTCAAACAATTTTAAACAGATATTTGTTTATGTAAATATTTTTTGAATTGATATTCTTAAACAAAATCAACTGCAAATAAAAAAATATTACAGTGAAGTTATAAAAATATTAAAGAAAAAATTATTAGGTACTTTTGAAGTAATGCTCTACACTAATTGTCAATGAACACCTATCATGATATAACAAAATATTAAGAGTAAAAAATTAAAATAATAGTAGTGATATATAAACATAATATTAGTACAAAAAAATTATTAATAATGATTTGGTTGGATTTTTATCTATCACTTTATAATAAAGAGTCCAATAACATATTTTTTATTATACAAATGACACTATCACATCATTTTAGGGTAAAATTTTGCATAAAAATTCAAGTGAAAAAATATTTCAGACAAAAAAATAATTATAAGTAAAAAAACAAATAATGGCTAGTAGAGAGTAGAGGGACAAATGATACATAAAATATGAAATGAAAAAACAAAAAATGGCCATAAGTAAAAAAAGAAGAAAAAAGAGGTGTACTTAGAGAATGAAAGGGTTTGTTTAAGTAATGCAAGAGACTAAATATTAATTAACCTCCAATTGTCTCATAATGATAGAGAAAAATTAATAAGTTGCATTATTGCATGAATGTAATATTTATAGGATAAGAATGGCGTGGTTGTATGATGGTTAGGGATGGCAATGGGGTGGGTAGAGTAGGTTTTACCCTTCCCATCCCCAATCTCTAATTTTTATTTTTTTTCCCCATTCCCTATCTCCAATGCCCAACGGAGACCAATTTTTTTTTACCACCCCCACCCCTACCCCTCAAGGGGATTGGTTTTTCCTGTCCCCATTTGCTTTGCTTTAGGTATATCTCCATAATATAAACAAATCAAAAGCGAAAATTAAGAATTAAAAAAAGTGAGTGAAAGAGACAAATTGATTAAGATTGTGTTTGGTTATAGATTTGGGGATAGATTAGATAGATTTTATACACATTTTTTTTTTTCAAATATCTTCTCAAATTGATGAACCAAATACAATCTAAAAATAATAATTAAAAAAAAAAAAAAACCAGTTAAAGGCTACTAAAAATTTCTCTTCTTTTCTAGCAAATTCACAACAATCAAACGTAGGGACCCAACTAAAGTGCAAGTACCTAAGCTTTTCATTTGCTCACACAACAGAAAAAACAAAAGCAAACGTAAAGGAACAAACTACTGTAACTTTCTCTTCTTTTCTCGCAATTTCTAAGCAACCAAACAAAGCATAAATTAGGGTTTCAACTCTCACCTTGCAAATGACTCGACCCTTACCACCATCACTTGCCTCCTTCAAATCAAAACCTTGTTTTGACCTTTTGTTCTGGTACAACCACCTCTTTGGTTTGTTCTTCGACTTTGTCTTCCTCCAAAGAAACCAAGTATGATTCCACGACGAGCTTGACGAGCCACTTGTGGTCGAGGTGGGAGAGGTCGATGTCGTGCCTCTCGGCGGCCGTGGTTCGGAACTTGAGCTCTGTCGCTTCTACCAAGTCCGCATATTTTAAGATTTCGATCACTGTTTCTTCGATTTTTTTGCTTGACCTTGACTTGGAGACAAGGGGATGGGTAATTCACTAATGGGTATTCACCAACCTAGCCCCGAAAAAATCAGAAAAAAACCAACCAATATTATATCTGACTCGTGAGGGAAAATTTTTGAAGAACTCTGCTCCAATAATAGTAGGGCGGGGCGTGTAACGCCCCAATTTCCGGGCCATTAAATAAGTACAATAATACAACACAAGTAGGATAGACAACCAAAATATTTTAATATACATATATAAGCAGAGTTAATATTATAGATAATTTGTTTATGGTCCATTACAGGATTACCAAAATATTGCCAAACCAAAAGTTAAAAGGAAAAAAAAACAACTAGTCTAAGTCTTCAAATAAACTACAGCTTCAACACTTCATTTTATTTGCCTTCGAATTAACCTTCACCATTGTAAACTGCTTCATCACCTGGCATGACACGCCATAAGCTTGGAATACCCAGTAAAAACACACACAGCTCCATATCTTTTATCAACCAATCAACCATACACAGAACAAATCGGGTAACATAAGTACAACATTACAATAAGGTTCTATGAATTAGTAGTTAGACTAGACATCTAGAATCTCCCAAAGAGATCCTTTTACCCAACCACAAGGATTGAACACTGGACTATTCAGAACTCCCCATTTTGCTGCTTTGCAGACCTTACCACCTATGCCCACCTTCCAGTTATTTATCGGTCAGTGATGTTGATGGACCTCAAAAGGGACGACCAAACAAGTGGGCTCACTTACACCTAAATTGTGCCTAGGGCTCGCTTACACCCTGAAACCACCGCATAGAGTCTGAATACATCTGTGTCAACCTAGGGGCTCGCTTAGACCGTTTGCGCAAGACTTAACTCATTTGGTATTAATCCCATCATAATTCATGTCATTCATATGTATAAATTATTCCAAAACACTAATGTGAATGTCAACCCGTTGCCAACCCCTTATCATTTCTTATTTATTAGATCTTTTGCTAAGCAAGTTAGTCACATGCGGTAATTCGTTAATATAAAAGAGCATAAGACAAACATAAGAGAGGAAATATAACCCATGATAAGCATACATAAGTATGGTAAAGCAAGCAAACAACACTAGGAATGCTTTGAAACACTTAGTAAAACACAATTTTCAGCACTATTCAGTTCCGCAAGGCTAACAATAATGCTTTGGTAAAAATACTTTCAGGTCAAATTAGGGGCTGAAATTGCACAGAAACAATAATCAACCTGTCTAGTTTCAATTCCAATTCTTAGAATTTGCACAGCACCTCCAGAAATTCATGTACAAGCTCTGTTCGAAAACTTGTCCAGATTTGTCACCCGTTGGGAAAACTACCTTCCTCTCAATCTACCCGATGATTTTCGCCCAAATAAATTATGTTGGAAAGAGGACTCAGAATTATAAATTTTGACAAAAGAACCAACATGAGATGATTTTTCTAGAATTTTATAAAATTTCAAGAAGTAGACTGTTTTTCAAAGACTCAGGACCAAATTTTTAAACAAAATATCCAAGCCCTAAAAACACACAATTAGGGGCTAATAAAATTATCACAAGCTCTAAACACACCAAATAGCCTACACTAAATTCAGATTTGAGAAATAAATAAATTTGATATTTCTTTTAAATTAGAGGAGACAAGAGAGAGATGTGGTTCTTACCTTCTTGAGTCACCTTTTCTTCATTTTCTCTTTTTTTTTTTCCCCCTCTACTTCCCCTAGTCACACTCTCCCTCTCTCACCCTCTCCCTGGGCTGCTGAAATGTGAGAGTGGAAATTGAGACAATGATCTCAATTTATAGGCCATGAATTTGGGTTAAAAAGACCATTCTACCCTTTTTGCTTAATGACTAAGAAAACTTATAAATATCTAGATATTTTGTTTTCCACTAGTTTGCTCAAATAAATAATAAAAATATTTATTTAAAGATATTTATTTACTCAAATAAATAATAAAGATGCAAAGAACTAATAAATATTCAAATAGGCTAAAACAAATAAAATGTATGAATTAATGTAGAGACTAAGGGTTAAAATAAATAAAAACTAAATGTTAGGGGTATTTTCAAATATAAAAATGGCATTCTAGGATTTAGTTATAATACAAAATAAATACAGAAAAATTATTCTTTCTTGGACCATTTTGTAAAATTTTATGAAATTTGGGATTAAAATGCAATTAACCTAAGACTTAGGATTTCAACTGTAGTTACCAAAAATTAGGGTCTCTACAGGGCGCTTCTCCATCAGGTTTAGGTTTAATTGCCATCCCTAATGATGGCTAGGGTTTTGGGGTAAGAGAAATAACTAGTTAAAGAAAGAATGCACAAGATCTCTCTTGTTCATCTTTCTAAATCATAAATCATGAATTATTTTTATTTTTAAATTATTTTTTAAACTTTAAAATTCACAAATTTAGTATGAAAAACATCCAAATTAGTTTATTTAATTTATTTATAGGGAAATAATTTAATTATAGGGAAACAACCAAAACAGATTTTAATTAATTATAAGGAAACAAAATCAATCAAATAAAATAATTTAAACATATTTGAATTGATTTTTGTTTAATTTATTTTAAGGAATAAAAGATTTTAGATAGAGGTTTTAGAAGATGGACAAATAAATTGGAATTTTTTAAACACACAATAAAATAAAATAAAAAATTTAAAGACCAAATAAAATTAGAATTTTTTTCTATAATAAAATCTTAATTGAGTAAGATCTTTTAGTAATTTATAATGCACATGAGTTTTAAAAAATGAATAGACTCAATCGACTGTTCAAAAATTAAATAGGTAATTTAAAAATAAAAAATGTAATGAACCTTTTAAAGTTAAAGTTAAATTTTAATCATTTGAAGTACGTCTCTCATGACGTGTCTTCCTGTGGTTTGTTTTGAGTCTAATGGTAGCAGTTGAGTACAATAGAAGCTCTCACCAACTTTCACCTACGTTCAAATTTATGAAAGTGTTTTTAAACCTTTCTTAAAAATATTTATTATTTATTTTGTCAATTTGAAATTTAAATCCTTGTTTGACGGTGTACATTTTTGGAATAAAAAGACTCCCCATTTAGTTTTGATTATAGAATTTAAAGTAAATCTTAACCATTGAATTATGCCTCTCGTGTGTCTTGTTGTGTTAAAATCACAGAGAGATCACTACAAGACAAATCTCTACAAACAATTTGAGTCCTTCTAAGGTCTCGTTTGAAAATAGAGGCCTTGTTTGGTTTGTATTTGAGAAACATATTTTGAGATAAAAAGTACGAAAATTTATTTAGTTTGTTTTTTTTTCAAAAGATATTTTGAAAAATTATTTTGAGAGAAAGTTTTGGAAAAAGTGATTGATTTGATATGTATGAGAGAGAGATTTGTTTAGAAAATTTATAAACCAAACAAGTTTTAGAAAAAAAATTTGGGAAAATTTATTTGGTTTGATTACTTTTAAAAACTTATTTATAGAGAATTTTTTCCAAATTTTTTTGAGAAACACAAACCAAACAAGGCCAGATTTTTTTAGTAATTTTTTAAATTTTTAGTTAAAATGTGATGTAAAAAAATTATTTAGGATGACTTAAATAAGTGCACTTTTTGTCTTTTTACGAAATGATGTGTAGAAAAGTAAAGAGGTGATGTGATGGAAAAAAGATAAAAATATAAAAAGATGGATTATATTGGAGTTGTCAAACTTGACCAGTATGTTTGTGATGACTTTTTAACCTTTTACGAAAAGATGTGCAAAAAGTAAAGAGAAAATAAATTTTTTGACTTTTTAGTATGAGTTGTTGACTTTTTAGTTTTTTTTAGTGACTTTTTGACTAAAAAAGTAACTTGCCAAACGTGACCCAAATAGGTGAATAAATTAGAGGATTGTTATTTGCCTTTGGCTCTTCACTTCTTTGAATACCCACTCAACAAAATAAAACCTTTCCATTTTTTCTTTTGAAACCTCACCTTAATACCAACTATACCTCTAACCCAAAATCCAAACCAAAACCCTAACCCTAATCTCATCCCCACCAATTCCGATAGCCATTGCTGCTAGCCCATCTCTGTTGTTACGTCACTGGTCGTTGCCACTGTCACCACACCGCGATTACTACCGGTGTGAACCACCTATTTCTCCATCTCCATTTCTTTCTCTTTTTCTTTTTCATCACCTGGAAAACCCTAACCATCTCTACCTATTCTTCACCTCGAAATCCCTTTTCTATCTCTGCCTTTTCTTCTTCTTCTTCTTCACCTCGTTGTGAACCTTAACTCTAACCCTTCGTAGGTACGATCGCGTCACCATCGCCGCCACCTACTTCGATTCAGATCTCGCTTGATCACAAGTTCTCTCTCTCGCTGACTCAATCTACTCATAATCTTCGATAGCCTTAACCTGTGAATGATAGTGTCGTCGTCGTCGGCGACATCGATACTGGTGGCGATAGCAGAGCGGGTCAAAGCGCCTCTTTCTCTCTCACTCAATCTTTTTCTCCCTATCACTTTAATGAAAGTAGTGGCTACGACGGTGGTGAAGGGTGATTGGAGATAGTGGTAACTGCTAGAGATGATTGGGGTTAGGGTTAAGGTTTGAAAAATTAGAGTTAAAAAATTAAAAATGACAATAAAAGTGAAATTTTAAATTGGGACAAAATTAAAATTAAAAAAAAAATAAAAGAGGTAGAGTTCTAAAAAGAAAAGTAGTGATCAATAACGATGCTCTAAATTTATTTTGGCCCCGTTTGTTTTCAGAGGTAGAATGGAGGGGATTTACAGTGAGGGGATTAATAGTAAGGGGATTATTAGTGAGAGGATTGATAGTGAGGGGATTAAGTAAAATTGTGTTTGTTTTGATGATAGTTGTTAGTGTCGGAATTGTTAAATTATTTTTATATAAAATAATAAAACAAATAAAAAATATAACATTAATATTTTTAAAAAAAATTCTCAATATATAAAAAATAAACAAAATAAAAAAATTTCTAATCTCCTCACTATTTTTCTAATATCATCTCCACCTTCTCCATCCCAATCCCTCTTCCAACCTCCATCTATATCCCCTCTTCCATCCTAAAACATAATACTAAATAATCCTGCTTCTATCCTAATCTCTTTTCTATTTATTTAACTCCAAAACAAACGAGACTTTTGGGTTTAATATTAGGCCTCGTTTGAGAACAGGCTAATTTAGTAACTTTTTGGCTATTTGGCTAAAATATGAGCTAAAAAAAACTAGTATGTTTGGGATGACTTTTTGGTTTTTTACGAAAAGATGTGCAAAAAGTAGAGAGAAAAGAGAATCTTTGACTTTTTGGTATGAGTTGTTAGTTTTTTGGCTAATTTAATAATTTTTTGACTTTTTAATTAAAAAAGATAGTTGCCAAACGAAGCCTTAGTAATCGAGTAAATGGAAGCACCCACCACCTTTTTCAAATTTTAATGCGTTATAAAAGTGTTTTAAAACCTTTTTAGAAAATATTTATTTATTTTGTTAATTTGAAATTTGAATCCTTGTTTGGTGGTGTACATTTTTTGGGATGAAAATCTGCCCATCTAAATTTCCGCCACAAAGCACATACTTCCAAATTCTCTTTCTTCTTCTTCTTCTTCCCTCTCTCTCTCTCCTCCTCTCGAACCATACGTGGAAGAGAGATGACAAAAACAATGGTGGAATCAATGCCACCTAACCCTAATTCTATTGAACCACCGGCAACAGCCGGCGATCCTCCACCACCACCGCTGCCGCCCACTGACGGCGGCGGTGGCTTTTTATCGCTTCCCCGGCGGCCGGGCATAAGATTGACGACAGAGTTCGATAGCGACAGCTCGATATTCTTCAACAAGATTTCGTGCAAGTTGTTAGACAGTCTCGCGAAGCTAAAGCTATCGTTCCAGAACAACGACAAGGGCGAGATCTCCGAGCCCCAATTGGCTCTCACTTCCAAGTACCTCTCACTCCACTACGATCTCGAAGAACACAACGCTCTCATCAAGAGCTCCTTTGACGTTGGCCCTGCTTTGCACTTGAGAGCTGCTCATGATGTCAAGGTAACTCTCTCTCTCTCTCTCTCTCTCTCTCTAATTTGGTCTATGTTTGACTCTTGTGTTTTAGTAAATTTCCTTTAACTTCCACTGTTGTGAATGACTGATGTACGGTGAATATTCTTAATTTTGGTATATCTCTGTCACTATGTATCATTTTGTTGATCTTCAGCACAGTTAATTTTCCAAACTCGAAACTCTTGCTTCTTTTATTGGGTGGGATGATTCAAAAAAAAGAAAAAAGAAAAATGAAAAAAAACCCCCCAAATGATCCGTTATGACCATTACATTACCAAAATGAAAAATAGTCATTTTATCATCATTTAAGTAAAGAGAAAAAAGGTTTGATTATTGTTTCCTAACTTTGATCTCAACGTTTAAACCATAGGAAACATCAAGCTTCACAGTTTAGGACTACCCGAGTCGCATGCAATACTACAAAGGGACGGCCTGAGCCTTAGTTCAGTTAGACAATCGCCTACGCCCCCAATTTGAGAAGGCCCAAAACTTGCATACCCTTATAATGATAGATAGATATTGTTAATAATGCAGACACCCTCTCAACTATAACTTAATACCATTTTATCCTTCTCAATTTCAAAGCTGTAGGTTTGGACTTCTTCACAATAAAATTGGATCACTTTCACCTCTTCCACTATTCATGAACGCAGAGGTCGTCTGAGTTTGTCAGATATTGATTTATGTCGGGGTGGTGATGACACTATTGATGTTGATCCTGGTCCATCGATTTCAGAGGTTGGTGTTAGCAAAGAGGAAGTTGATCGTAGAGGATTAGTTGTTATGGATCCAACAAAATTTTCTAATGTTTTACGAAATGTAATCATCAGTGTAAAAAATAGTGATGTGACTCAAAATGTAACAGTTGATAATAAGGAAAATGTAGTAAGTAAATAAAACTTTTACTGGTTTTATAAATAAATTTAATAAAATTTTTCATTAATCATGATAGTGGTTACATTAACATCAAACCATTCTCTCATTTTTGGGGACATTGAATCTAACCAACTACCGTCCCCATTGGTTAATAAAATACAAGGAATTCCTCCTCTAATAGTGAGATCTGGTTGGAATTTAACAAACACATGGAAATCTCTCTGGCATCCTACTAAATTCTTCATTAATTCGATAGGTACTGTCGAGTATTTGATGTCGTCTATGACGTTGTAGACGACGTTTTGGTCGTAGTCTTTGAAGCTTATTCTGCTGGAGAAGTAATTGTGTCGTCCGAGGCTTCTGGCCCAGGTGGTTTTGTTTGTTCTTGAGGGTCCTTCGAGGTAGAGGGAGATTGGGCGGATGGGCCTCTGCTCTGGTTCCTGTTATCAGAGGAGGAGGAGAGTTCTCCGTCAGTATATAAATTGTTTATATTATTTTTGTGTATCCCTAATTTAAGGAAATCGTCTTCCCTCCAAACGGAGAGACAACAGTTTTGACATAACTCGTACTGAACGCAATTTCGACTTACAAACAAAATATTATTTTCTGTCCATTTTTTTATTTCTTCATTTAAGAAAGGAAATGAATTAAAAGGGCTAGTATATGGGGGCCTCTCTCTTTTGTAATGATCCCTGAAAAATATTTTTAATTGGGGGTAGTTTGTGACGTAATCGGTGGGACATCTTTCTTTACAGAGAGCAAAGAATTGTTCCTCCGTTTCTGCTTCGCCAAGTATTCCCCTCCAGAGTTCGTCTCTGTTTTTCGAAGGACTTTTCCCCTTAGATGAAAATTCTCCCCATTCGACGAACTCGCTCCCTTTCTGTATATACTGTCGACTTGCTGTTGGCGAGTGGAGTTTTTCTATATTTGAATAGTAGATCCTCCCATTGGTTCCAGTGAGATCGAAAAATCTCGGGTTGAAGGTTTGGATCTTTTTCGTGCATTGAACCATGGCATGAAGGTGAGGGTTTCCATCTTCATGGAGCTCCCTTGCGACAAGTATATGGCTGGCAGGCTAGTTGGAGGAGAGATTGGAGGAGTTCTAAGAGTTGTTCTTTTGGGCATGGGCATTGTGAATAGGTGAGGAAAACATTCTTGGCATAAAAACAGAAAGAGACTTGGCGAGGCATTATTTAGCTTATTTAGTGCTTAACACTTAACTCACACAGGTGTGAATGTTGTTTGTCGAGACTTTATATAGGGGGAGGTCACACCAGCTGGGGGGGCGCTATATATAATATTACTTGCGCCCCCCTGTTGAAATTGTATCCGTTAGGCAATTTCATCCGTTGATGGACGTACGGATGGTGACGTGTAAGGCGGAGATTAAATCCGTACTCACACCAAATAGTAATCACTATTTGGTGTGAGTAGCCGGGGCTTGGTGTGAGTAGACGTATTTTCAAGTCGATACTTCACCATCCATGGCACTTGTTTGTCGTTAATTGAACAATAACCATTCCCATAATAGACTAACTCGCATTGACAATCTACTGGGAAAATAAACCACGCCTGCAAACTGTCATTACCGTCTAACCTTTGATCATAAACATTTACTCTGACCAACCCATTAGCATTGGGTGCGCAAAGGAGGGAATATTTTATCAATATTTTATCAACCTTAATACTTTTTTGTTTGTATCTTAACCTCAATTGAGAAAATAAATTAGGCAACGCAAGTTCAATACAACTGAAATCACTTGCCGAAACACCTTCAACAACCCCAGTTTTTATATCGTCCACCTCCATCAACCTGAACATTAAAAATAAAAATACATTAAATTATAATTCTAAACAGTTTTAAAGTACATTTGACTCCTTAAAGTAATTTTGCATTCCTTTTCACTAACAGTAGCAGCCACTAAATATATGGCATCCTTTTGAATGTTTCCAACATTTCCCAACAGCATATTTTTGTAGTCCGTCCAAACATCAACTGGGAAGAACCGGTCTACAACTTCTATCCCGTGACGAACGTACTCTTTGTCCTTGCCACCAACGAGCTTGAATCTCATTTTCTTTAGCATCTGAAACCGGTCGGATTGGTCAGGATCAACAATCCAGGTCTCAGGATTATCCTCGCCAACTCCAATAAATATCTTGTCAGGTGTAGGGACGGAATCTGACGGACTATTATCACTGATGATAAAAAGTAACATGTGGTGGACCACAGCTTCGTCCTTAGCATCTTGTCCCAATTGAACATTACCAATGAATTTGATACCCTTAACCACGATATTGTCTGATTGACGGTCAGATCTCATATTACCCAACTCAATACCATTAAGTAATCTCGTCACGCCTTTATTATCAAACTTAACGTCCCTTAATTATTCATCGTAGAGCTGTAATTTCCTTACTCCCCTCTTAGTCTTCTTAATAAATCGGGGAATATTCTGAACGTACCGTCGGTGAACATACTGGGTCTTAAAAGGTGCACGACTACGGTAACTACGTCTATATCCACTGCCCGCCGGTGTCCTTGACCTCCGGTACGCAAGGGGGGTCCGGTAATGGCTGCTTCCTATTCCTTTCATTTTTTATAAATAACTCCAAATCTTTTATACGAACACTTCTACAGGATCTGTTACCTTTGCTAACCCTTCTGTTCAGACACCTTAGTTTTGATATTTTTGCCCTCTGCTCTTCGTACACCGGAACAAACTTCACCGGAGCTCTCCGCCGGCTCTCTTCCCACAGTCCTAGTTGCCACGTCAAAAAGCGATCCACACACATTTGAGTGAACTGTCCGTAATTCTCGGGATACTCTTGTAAGGAGTACAACATTGTATACCAAATAAATCGACAAAAATGGCAGAAAGAAAAGGAGGGACGAAACAAGGTACCAGAAAATCACCTCAGTGTAATAACTCTCCAACTGCAAAAGCATATCTCTCTTATCTCTCTCCACCGACAAATATCTGAGGCTGGACCCAGATATATAGACAGTTGTAAATACGGAGATTCGGAATTTAAAATTTGAATTCCCGCCCATTACTGTTCATTCATGCGGAATTCTGTGCACCTTTGCTTTATATCCAAGCAAAACCACCACGATCGTGACACGTGGGTGGACAGGAAATGGCCACGTCTACTCACACCACTCACACCAAATAGTGATTACTATTTGGTGTGAGTACGGATTCAATCTCCGCCTTACACGTCACCATCCATACGTCCATCAACGGCTGAAATTGCCTATCGGGTACAATTTCAACAGGGGGGCGCTTTGAAGCTTATTCTGCCTGAGAAGTAATTGTGTCGTCCGAGGCTTCTAGCCCAGGCGGTTTTGCCTGTTCTTGAGGGTCCTTCGAGGTAGAGGGAGATTGGGCGGATGGGCCTCGTCTCTGGTTCCTGTTATCAGAGGAAGAGGAGAGTTCTTCGTCAGTATATAAATTATTTATATTATTTTTTTGTATCCCTAATCTAAGGAAATCATCTTCCCTCCAAACGGAGAGACAGCAATTTTGACATAACTCGTACTGAACGCAATTTCGACTTACAAACAAAATATTATTTTCTGCCAGAGAGATTTCCATGTATTTGTTAAGTTCCAACCAGATCTCACTATTAGAGGAGGAATTCCTTGTATTTTATTAACAAATGGAGACAGTAGTTTGTTAGATGCAATGTCCCCAAAAATGAGATAATAGTTTGATGTTAATGTAACCACTGTCATGATTAATTTTATTAATTTTATTTATGAAACCACTCAAAATTTTATTTACTTACTACATTTTCCTTATCATCAACTATTACATCTTGAGTCACATCACTATTTTTTACACTGATGATTACATTTCGTAAAACATTAGAAAATTCTGCTGCATCCATAACAACTGATCCTCTACGATCAACTTCCTCTTTGCTAACACCAACCTCTGAAATCGACGGACCAGGATCAACATCAATAGTGTCATCACCACCCCGGCGTACATCAATATCTGACAAACTCAGACGACCTCTGCGTTCATGAATAGCTGAACCACTTTCCCCAAAACATCCTAACAACAAATCTCTTCGCCTCTCCAGTAAACCAGCAGACTTAGTCCGTGTCAGAATCGGAATGGCCTTCGTTGGAGGACAATGCCAGACATCAACATTATCATTAGTATATTTTTTAGATAACACAACAATAGAGGGGGCCCTCATTTGCGAATCTTCTGGCATGTCACTCGTAGAATACTTCAGATACCCCTTCATTTTACAATACGTAACCCCCCTTTTAATATTGGAATTTTCAAGTCGATACTTCACCATCCATATGTCCAAGGTGAAGACACTGTGGAAGCCTGCTGGTACTTGCCACGGTTTAGATCTGGGCAACCACTTCTTTCTAATCAAATTTCAGGAGGAAGCTGACCTCACCAAGGTCCTCTCTAATGGCCCTTGGTATATTGGCAACAATTTCCCCTCAGTTTAGATTTACTGTTCCGAATTTCAACCACAAACTATTGTCATCTCTTCTGCAGTAGTATGGGCTCGCCTGGTCTCCCTACCC